ATCTATCTATCTATCTATCTATCTATCTATCTATCTATCTATCTATCCATCCATCTATCCATCCATCCATCCCCCCCCTCCCTCTCTCCGTACCTACCTATTTACCTATCTATCAATCAATCTATCATCTATATATCTATCATCTATCACAAAGGTCTTCAAACTTGGCAAGTTTAACACATGTGGACTTCAACTCCCAGAATTCCTCAGCTAACATGACTGGAGGAGGAAGAATTCTGGGAGTTGAAGTCCAGAAGTCTTAAAAATATCGAGCTTGAAGACCCCTGATCTATATCTATCTATCTACCTATCTATCTACCTACCTACCTACCTATCTATCTCTCTAATCAATATATCTGTTAATCATCTATCTATACCTATATATCCTCTGTCTCTATAACATCTATAGCTCTGTCTATTTGTATCTGTTTATCTTATATCTATCTATCCTATCTATATCTATCTATCCTATCTATCTATCATCCATCTCTAATCAATATCTATAGCTATCTGTTAATCATCTATATCAAGGGTCTCCAAACTTGGCAAGTTTAAGATTTGTGGACTTCAACTCCCAGAATTCCTGAGCTAACATGACTGGAGGAGGAAGAATTATGGGAGTTGAAGTCCACAAGTCTTCAAGCTGTCCAGTTTGAAGACCCCTGATCTATATCTGTCTGTCTGTCTGTCTGTCTGTCTATCTATCATCATTTGTCTCTCTAATTAATATATCTGTTTGTTTATTAATATATCTATCTATACCTATATACCCTCTGTCTCTAATTTATAACATCTATAGCTCTATCTGTAAGACCCCTGAATTGAAGACCCCTAAATGAAACCAATGTAACCCTGTTTATTTTTTAAGCACTGCCATCTAGTGGACTCTGGCCTCAACAGAACTTTAATATTTTTATTCAATTAATTAATCAAAATTATACCAATAATGTTTTTCCTCCCTGGACAGAAATGTTCCTTTCCAAACAGAAGCTTGGCCTGCAGCCAATCTCCATACGTATTTTGCTGCATTCAGCTCCATGCGGCCGTCTAAGCATTCTGGTGGGAGAAAAATTGGCTTTGTAATACAAGAAGTCCTCGAATTAATGACCACAATTGAGCCCAAAGTTTCTGTTGCTAAGCGAGACATTGGTTAAGTGAATTTTGCCCCGTTTTACAACCTTTCTCGCCTTGGTCATTAAGTGAATCGCTGCAGTTGATAAGTTAGTAACACGGTCATTAAGTGAATCTGGCTTTCCCCATTGACTTTCCTTGTCAGAAGGGCGCAAAAGATCACGTGGCCTTGGGAACACATCAACGGTCATAAGTACGAGCCAGTTTGCCAAGCGTCTGAATTTTGATCACATGATCATGGAGATAAAAGGAATTCTGGGAGTTAAAGTCCACCGTCGTAAAGCTGCCATAAGTGGCTACCCCTGATTTAGCGACAGGTACTCCTCGACTTACGACCACAGTTGTAGCCCAGAATTTAGGTTGGTAATAGTGAGGCATTGGTTAAGTGAGTTTTGCCCCACTTTGCAACTTTTCTTGCCACAGTTCTTAAGTGAACCACTGCCGTTGTTAAGTTAGGAACATGGTTATTAAGCCAATCCGAATTGAATCTGAATCAGTGACAGTCGCAAAAGGGGATCAAAGGACCCTGGGACTCTGCGACCGTCATAAATGTGAATATGTTCCCAAACATCTGAATTTTGATCACGTGACCACAGGGGAAATGCTGTAATGGTTAGAAGTGTGAAAAACGGCCGTAAATGGCTTTTTTCACTGCCATTTTAACGTCGAATGGTCAGTGAAAGAACAGCTATAATTCAGGAGCCTCAGTGGCGCAGTGGTCAGAGTGCAGTACTGCAAGCTACTTCTGCAGCCAGCTGCCTACAGTTTGGCAGTTCAAATCCCACCAGGCTCAAGGTGGACTCAGCCTTCCGTCCTTCCAAGGGGGGTAAAATGAGGACCCAGATTGTTGGGGGCAAGAGGCTGACTCTGTAAACCGCTTAGAGAGGGCTGTAAAAGCACTGGGAAGCGGGATATAAGTCTAAGTGCTTATTGCTATAAATCGAGGATTACCTGTTGTCAGGTTTCCGGCAGTTACCCCCAATTAAATCCTGAGTCTTGAGCCAAACTTCCAAAACTTCAGAATGGTTTATTGGGAGTTAACATGTCTGACACTGCCTGGGTGTAGCCAACTCTGAGACACATCATTCATTGTCACCCTTGACCCTGGTTTTCCCTCCATCCCCTGGGCGTATCGTAATTCGTATTCTCCAATGGGACACCTCCCTAGCCCAGAGTCATCAATCGTGCTCTCCAGTTAGATTTTTGCCCAGCAGAAACTTCAGTCACCTAGTTACTATCTTTGAAAACATTCATGGAATGCACTTTTGATTTCCACTCCGCCTCACTGCTCCCCACTCCCTTTCTGTTGGCAATGCTAAAATTCCCATAGAAATATTTTATGAGTTGACACCTGTATTGTTTTCAAGGCAGCCCAGCCCAGAATGGGATAATAAAATCCTACCCAAAGGCTGATGGGGAGACGCATTTCCTGGAGTGTGCTTGTTTGTGCACGCCTGGATTGACTCACAATTAACGCGCTGCCCCCGTCTTCTGCTTTCGTTTGCCAAACCGCTTTCAGGTCTCAGCACGCCCTCAGCCTGGCCGACAAAGTTTTGTACTTGGAGCTCAAACTGAAGGAGCTGCAGGACGATCTTCAGAAGGTGAGGACGAGAAACGCAGGCAAGGAAAAGAAGCCCGCCCACCCCCCCCAAAAAAATATCACAGCGGGGGGGTGGGGGTGTCCTAGGTTTCGAATGAGGAGAGTCAGAGACAGGGAGACCGCGATTGAAAACAGCCGCAATTTGGAGCAGAATTTTCCGCTGCTAAGCAAAGGGGATTGTTAATCAACTGGTAGCCGATTCTATGACCTGTTCTCCACCCGCAGTCGTTCAGCGGGTCGCTGAAGTTGTTAAGCGAATCCAGCTTCCCCCGTTGACTTTGGATGTCAGGCGTTGACTGGGAAGCTCCCCAGTGGGCAAGTGACCTTGGGATAGGATGGGATAGAAATAGAATAGAATAGGATTAGGATTCGATATAGAATAAGGAGTAGAATATAGAATAGAATAGAATAGAATAGAATAGAATAGAATAGAATAGAATAGGATTAAGATTAAGATTAGAAATAGAATAAGGAATAGGAATAGGAATAGAATAGAATAAGGATTAGGAATAAAAAATAGAAATAGAATAGAATAAGGATTAGAAATAGACTAGAATAGAAATTAGACTAGAATAGAAATTAGAATAGGATAGGATAGAATAGAGTGAAATAGAGAATGGAATGGAATAGAATAGAATAGAATAGAATATAGAGGATAGAAATAATAGAATAGAATAGAATAGAATAGAATAGAATAGAATAGAATAGAATAGAATAGAATAGGAATAGGAATAGGAATAGGAATAGAAATAGAAATAGAAATAGGATAGAATAGAATAGGGATTAGGGTTAGAAATAGAATAGAAATTAGAATAGAGTAAAATGAAATAGAGTGTAATAGGATAGGATAGGATAGGATAGGATAGGATAGGATAGAATAGAATAGAATAGAATAGAATAGAATAGAATAGAATAGAATAGAATAGAATGAAATAGAGAATGGAATGGAATAGAATAGAATATAGAGGATAGAAATAATAGAATAGAATAGTTGGAAGGGACCTTGGAGGTCTTCTAGTCAACCCCCCTGCTGAAGCAGGAGAACCTATACCATCTCAGACAAGTGACAGTCCTGATGGATACGGCAGCTGTTGTAAATAGGTGCCAGTTATCCATATTTTATTGACGTGACCACAGGGATGCTATCGCAGCCATAAGTAAGAGGAATGGCTGTGTGTCATCCCCCACCCCCCCGTGCTGTTGTAACCCCAAATGGTCATTAAACGAATGGTTACAAGTTGAGACATAGCCAGTTCCTGCAATTAGTGTTTTTGCATCCTGAGACGCAACATAAAACAGGCCACTGCGCTTCCTAGGGTGCGGAGTTAAGAGCTGTAATTTTATTTCTTCTGCTGCACCGTTCAAAAGAGTAAAATTGCAACGTCTATAAATTAATACACAAAGGTCCGGCAGACTGATTAAAGGCAGTTTGGTGCTGTGGTCAAGATTTGAGGCCAGAAATGTGAATTTTTAGTCTCGTCCTCAGGGTAGACGCCTCCTGGGTGACTTTGAGCCTGTCTCTCTCCGTCTCTCAGCCCAAGAAAGCCACTTCCGAAAAGTTTGCCACGAAAACGGCAGGGACTCATCCCGACCGCCGCCAGGACTCGAAGGAGATGCTAAGTGAGCCGTAACATTTGGAGCCATCCTTCCATTGTTAAACAACTTTAATTAAACAGAGCATTCCTCTGTTTTGTTTTGTTTTTAAAGCCACTAATTGGGAAATCTTGTCCCTTTCTTTCAAATCTCTCTTTTTGCAAATCTGCCCAAAGCCTGCTTCTTCTTTTTCCAGACAATTCTGCAGCTTGCCCACACGCAGAGTCATCTCCTGATTGTTATATCTCAGGCACCAGTGCTTCACCCTGTCTGGTTTTCTCTGGTTTAATCCAAGAGGGTTTTGTTTATCTTTGAATCATGAAGGGGAAAAATTTTCTCCTTCAGGAGAGGTGAATTCACTCAGCCTGGCACAGTTGTTAGGGCGATCCCTCCTTGGAACAGAGAACCTAGCGTTGCCTTGTGCCAGAGGTGCTTTTTCAATAAGCAACTGGACTTTCTGATTTTTCTTTGAAGACGTTTTGCTTCTCATCCCAGAAGCTTCTTGGATGGTGGGGAATGGAAGGATTGATACCCCTTGCAGACAGCTGGTCATTTGCATCCTTTTTAGTGGGTCGTTGAGGCCACTTGGAGGCTTATCTGTGTCCTCAGAGTCACCTGAGTAGTTCCCAGCAGTTCCAAGAAGGCTCCACACCCCATTTGCAATACTAGGTGACCCTGAGGACACAGATAAACTTCCGAGTGGCCTCAACGACCCACTAAAAAGGATGCAAATGACCAGCTGTCTTCCGTTCCCCACCATCCAGTCAGAACTGAAGAAGCTTCTTGGATGAGTCTTCAAAGAAAAACCAGACAGTCCGGCTACCTCTTGGAAAAAAAAGCACTTTGGGGATAACTATGACATGGATGGTTGAGAATCTCCTTAGACGTCTAGTTTCGTCTTCCTTTCGTGTCACAATATAAAATAGAGGTTGAGATACTAGAAAGAGTGCAGAGAAGAACAACGAAGACGATTAGAAGACTGGAGACAAAAACATACGAAGAAAGGTTGCAGGAATTGAGTATGTCTCGTCTTAACCAAGAGAAGGACTAGGGGTGACACGATAGCTGTCTTCCCATATTTGAGGGTCTGACACAAAGATAAGGGGGGCAACCTAATTTCCAAAGCCCCCAGAAGGCAGGACAAGAAGCAACAGATGGAAACTCATCAAGGAGAGAAGCAACCTAGAACGAAGGAGGAATTTCCCGACAGTGAGAACAATTAATCAGTGGAACTGTTTGCCACCAGATATTGTTGGAGCTCCCTCATTGGAGGCTTTCAAGAAGAGACTGGAAAGACACTTGTCTGTAATAGAGGCCTCTTGTTTGAGCAGGGAGGGTTGGACTAGAAGACCTCCAAGGTCCTTCCAACTGGGATCAACAAAAGGGAAAGGAAAAGAGGGAGGTGGGTCAGGCCTGCACCCCCCTCCCAATTTGGGGAAGTTCTGAAGTTCACTTATCTTAGAGTTGCCAAGGTGGAGAAACACTGGCCTATGTCATCATCCCAAATTGCCATTTGCATGTCTGAACTGAGCCCAAGAGAGCTTAAAATAGTTGCATAGAAGAATAGATAAGTCATAAACTGCAGGAATTTGTCTAGACTGTCACCAGGAATTAAAAAAAAAAACTGGCTTGAAGGCACGCACATCACACACACACACACACACACACACACACACAAATAAATATACAAACAATCCTAAACTTGCTTTCACACTTTGGGGATTCCCAATATCTTGATCTGCGTGGATACTTAGAAATGAGGTTTGGGAGATATAACTTGAATGCAGTAGGAATGACTTGCAATAAAATATTAGTGCAAAAATAAATCCAAGCCAGATATGAAAGGGCCCCAAAGGCAGAATGTGACCCATATCAAGGAAAACATTTTTTTTTAAAAAGTGACTGGGAGTTTTGCAGAGAGAGTCACAAAACTTGACTCACAAAATAAGCACAGCCCTGCGGGCAGAAGTCAGGGAAGGCAGAGGAAGTTGTGGTTGGCTGGAGTTGCAAGGTTCCTGGGAAAAGAGAAGGCAGAAGTTAAAGGACCAAGAGAAAATAAATATATCAATATAAATAAAGCAGAAAATGGACGTAATAAAGGTTGGAGGAACCCAAAGTTTGTATAAACTGATTTTATCTCTGCTTATTTTATTTTGCTTTTAATCTCAGGCATTTAAGAAATGGCAATGGCAACGTTTCTCCATCTTAGTAACATTGAGATACCTGGACTTCAACTCCCAGAATTCCCTGGCCAGCGTGGATTCTGGGAGTTGGAGTCTCCATGTCTTCAAGTTGCAAGTCTGAGAAACATTGGTATGAAATAAATGAGTAGTTTTTCCTTTTTTCCTCCCTCCCTCCTTTCTTTTTTTCTCTATCCTCCTTTTGTTGCTTTCTCCATCCCCCACTCTTCTTTCGTTTCCTTCCTTCCTCCTCCCCATCCCAATTTATCCTTCCTTCCAACCTCCCTCCCTCCTTTCCTTCCAACCTATTTCCCCTCCTTCCCTTCCCTTCCTCCCAATTTCTCCTTCCATCCTTCCAACCTCCCTCCCTCCTTTCCTGCCAATCTATTTCTCCTCCCTCCCTCTGAACCTATTTCTCCTTCCTTCCTTCCTTTTCTTTCTTCTCCTTTTTCCCTCCCTCCCTTCATGGCTAGCTGGGGAATTCTGGGATTGGAAGTCCACAGTTGCTAAGGTTGAAAAATGCAGTTCTCTGCCATCGTCCGTTTGAATGTTTTTGGCTCATTATTTATGAACCCCATGTTGGAGCTTGCCCCAGAAAGAGAATGACACACCTGGGTGTGCATGTAAATAAAATTTTAGCGAATGCATAAATTCTTTTCAATTCTGGATCCAGAATTCTTGGATCTTAATCCAAGATCACTTCGGCTGCCCTGGGTGTCTTCCTCAGTCCTTAGTTCCTCTGCCTTTATTTTGCTGGCTCAGTAAATACCTCGGTGGCAGACGGCCAGCAGGCGAGCATCCCAAAACAAGGAAAACATTTCAACACAAAACCAAACTGAAAAACTAACAGTGGGGAAGAGGGGGAAAAAGAAAAAAAAAAGCAATGGCCTCGGTCTGATTTGCAAATGCAAAAAAATAAAATAAAATAAAGAGACAAGGGAAAAACAGAAAGACGTCATGCAAAAAAATCTGCCAGGAAATAAGATTATTTTGGTTCTGGAAGAGAAAAACCAGGAGAGAGAAAATTCAGGGTGTGGTTCAAAAAAAGTGGCTTGTCGTTTATCCATTTTCCTTTGGTCAGCGTTAAGCTTTGCATGTCAGCCTTTGCCGCTGACCTGGGGAAGGATGTGGGGCGGGGGAGCGTTTAAGTGACAGGGCCCCTCCTGATGATGTCATTAAAGTAGGCGGAGTCACAAATCCCGGGACCCCTGCATTAAATCACAACAGCAAATTAATTCCGTTCCTAATACGGTTTTGCGTGGGATACATGCCAACAGTGGGTCTTTATTTTCTGTATACAAATATAAGTCGTCTATTTACGCAGTCCTATACAGAACAGCCATTCGTTTAGTGACCGTTCAAAGTTACAGTGGCACTGAAAATAGCGACTTACGGCCATTTTTTCCACGACTGTTAAGCGTCCCCGCAGTCCCGTCAAAATTCAGACACTTGGCAAACTGACTTGTATTTATGACGGACACAGTGTCCTAGGAGGCGATCCCCTTTTGAGACCTAATGGGGAAGCCAGGTTCACTTTGCAACCAGGTTTCTAATTTAACAACTTCAGTGATTCACTTAACAACAGTGGCAAGGAAGGTCATAAAACGGAGCAAAACTCATTTCACAAACGTCTCATTTAGCAACTTAAATTGGGGATACAATTGCGGTTGGAAGTTGAGGACTACCTGTAATGTATTTGATCTTTATCCACACAATACTGGAGTCCGTGCTGGGCCATTGTGATAATTTTTCTTATTGCTTTTTGTTGTCTGTGTTGTCACTCCAAAAAGTTTGGGGTCATCTCGGGTTATCTCATTATCTCATAAAATGCCTTCCTCCTTTTTTGTAAATATTTTTTGTAAATAGTTCCTAAAATGGTCTCAGGTTTCCTCAGGCTGTTCGGATGCTGAACTTGGCATGGGCTATTTAGAGATTGGGACTCGCGTCTGTTTAAAATCAGCTTAAAATCAGAGAGAAAGAGAGACAGAGAGAGAGAAAAGGAAAGAGTGAGGGAGAGGGAGAGATGGAAAGAGAAAAAAGGAAGGAAGAAATGAAGGAAGGAGAGAAGGAAGGAAGGGAGGAAAGAATGAGGGAGGGAGAGAGAAAAGGAAGGAAGGAAAGGAGAATGATGAAGGATGGTGAGAAAGGAACAAAGGAAGGAAAGAAAACGGGAGGGAGGGAGAAGGAAGAAGAAAGATGGAGAGAAAAAAGGAATGAGGGAGGGAGGGAGAATGGAGAATGAGGGAGAAGAAAGGAAAATGATGAGAGATGGGGAGAGAAAGGAACAAAGGAAGGAAAGTAAAAAAGGATGGAGGCAGGGAGAGAGAAGGAAGGAGAATGGAGATGGAGAGAAAAAAGGAAGGAGAGAAGGAGAATGGAGAGTCAGAAAGAAGGAAGGAAACTAAAGAAAGAAGAGGGATGGAGAAAGAAACGAAGGATAGAGAAAAAAGGAAGGAAAAAAGAAAAAACTTCATTTATTTCCAAGCAGCGTTTCTCAACCTCGCAACTCAAAGACTTCAATTCCCAGAATCCCTGCTGCCTGGGGAATTCTGGGAGTTGCAGTCTACCCATCTTAAAGTTTGAATTGAACGAAAACACGGCGCAAACTCCCCATTTTTTCAGTGTGCGGGTTTTCCTAGTTAGGGCCACTTACTTTGTCACCCGGTTTAAGCCGGGACCACAGCCAGGATGAGGGCCCTCAAGGCTGGGGGGGGCCAGTGAATGACGAAGCCCCTTCCCCACCCGATCCTCTTTCTGACCTCCTTTTTTACCCCTGCCCCCCCCCCCCCCCCCCCCCCCCACAAAGGCCAAAAGGCGGCTCTCCAAGCCGAAATGCAAACCCTCCAGCAGAACACCAAGCGACTGAAAGAGGCGTCGGAGACGGCCGCGGCCCAACTCAGCCAAGTCACCCAGATGTTGGGGGGAGGTTCCTCCGGCCCCCACTGCCCGTGAGGAGGAGGGGGGAGCGCCCTCTGCCCCTCCACGGCCGGCCACCCTCCTGCTTGGCCCAGCCCTGGACGGCTCCACCCGATTTTTCCTCCCTCAGGAGCGGGGAGGGAAAAGGGCACCCCCAGGAGATCCAGGAATCCGAGGGTGGTTTGTTGCGGGGAAACAAAACCGCCACTCGCAAAGCCTTGCCTCGCTCTGGAAGTTCAGCCCTCCCCGTTTTTTGAGAGGGGAGGGAGGGGGCTGCTGCCTTCCCCCACCCCCACCCCCAAAGATGAAGCCGGCGGGGGGTGGGGGTTGGATAATTGAACGAGAAAAAAGACCCCAACGTGGCTGGTCGGCATAGAATTGACAGTTTGGAGTCCCATCGCTCCATCTCCGCCTCTTCGAAGGGCGCCTGGTTTTTGCCCCATCCTCAGGTTCAGCTGGGCGTGAATTTGAACTCGGGTTCGAAGGCCCCCCCCCTCCCCAAAAAGGGGAGGTGGGGGGGGGCGGAGAAGAAGG